GGGGGGTGTCAAGTAACAGCCAGGTCTTGGTTTTACTAAAAACCTGAGCTTAAAATAGGCAATTTTGAAATCCTGGGGAGGGAAGGAAAGGGGTAGAGGAGAGAAGAAAGGGACCTTGGTAGGAAGAACAAAATTTTTTTTTAAATGAAATTTTAAAATTGTTTTGTCCCATGATATCTAAGAAATCTCTTGTCAAGTCAATGTTACTTGCTAATGTGTATGAGTCTGGAGAAGCATTGGGGCTAAGGAAGCCATGGCATGATATGAGCTTTTAGTTTCATGTTTCTGTAGTTTACCCACCACCTCACCCTCCACCTATGTCTTTTTTGTTTTCTGGGGTTTTTTTTGTTTTTTTGTTTTTGTCTCTTAGTCCGTAGATAGTACTCATCATCTTGAGCAGAGGAAAATTTTTCCTACCCATTTAGGTTCCTGTTTGAGAGCCTGCAAATTAATTGACAAAAGTCAGAATAACAGGAGAGACTAGACAAAGTTTATCCATGTGCACATGAAGAAGCACAAGAGGGTGGAGTGAGGATAAACTTGAGTGTTCAAGTCAGGTCCCCAAGACCACAGGACATTATGAAGCCACATCAGTGGCTGGCCTGACCCCAGGGGCACTTGACAAAGTGAAGGGAAGTACAGTTTTGCCCCCTCAACAGTTGCCTGGAAACTAATTTCTGAAATCCTCCTAGGGCCAAAGGCAACCCAGGAAGATCAGAACTACAGGGCCCCTGTGGGCTGTGGGCCCCAAGAAGCCTCCTTAAAGATAGGCTGTGTGTCAAGGGCCACCCACACCTCTCATCCCTCCCACACTTTTCTCTCAAGTAGCATACCTGCTCCTCTCCCAAGTTATGCACAGTTTTCCTGACTCCTCTTCAGGAGTGAGGCTCTGGACTCTCTGGAGACAAAGGTCCATATGGATATAGTAACTTGGGAGACTTTATGATCCTATGACACTAAAGAGTCTCTTAGGGGACAAACAGCATGTCCCCTCAAGCCTGTCACAAAGCTATGCACTTATAAGCTTCAATCGAGAAACCCCTTCCCCAGTGAAACATTGTACAATCTTTTCCCAATTTCAGCCCCCTCCCCACACCCCAACATTTCATCTCACATGACAATGACAAAAGGGCAAAACACTTTCAAGGCTGTGCAGGTTATCATTCCTGTTGATGATTCCCACTTATAAGACTTTTCATTTCTCTTTCTAAGCCCATTTCACTCTCATACATCCAACAGTGTGAACTGGGAAAGAAAGGGGTTCCAACATCTGAGCCCTTGTTTGAGGCCAACCAGGTACAGGTTGCACTTTCCCAGAGGGCAGTTCTGACCTGTGTGTGAGCCCACCAGGTGCAGTCAATAGCCTGGCCTCTAGAGCACACAGAGAAGGGCCCCAGTCTCCCCGCCACCACCACCCCCCAGCCACCCAACACTATCAGTTTTCCTCAACCCCAAGGACAGAATACATCCTCTCTATGTCCTTTCCCATACTGGGTGCCAGCCCTGGGTCTTTTTTTTTTTAAAGATGAGCTTTATTTAAAAAAAAAAAAAAAATACTTTTTTATTGATTTTTTTAGAGAGAGAAGGGAGAGGGGTAGAGGGATAGAAATATTGATGAGAAACATCATCAATCAGCTGCCTTCTGCATGCCCCCTACTGGGGATCAAGCCCACAACCCCAGCATGTACCCTAACGGGGAATCAAACTGGTTCCCCGATCTCTTGGTTCCTGGGTCAACGCTCAACCACTGAGTCACACTGGCCAGGCAGCCCTGGGTCTTCTTAACAGAGGTCAGATATTGCTCAGAGTGTCTGAGGAAAGACAGAGACTTGGGAGAAAACCTAATTACCTTTCACCCTAGGTGGTTCAGTGGTCTCCTTGGTTCCAC